AACACATCCTACCAGATTGCTTCGAGTAGTAAAGAGGACACATCCGGCCCTATGACAAACGAGTACGTGAGGTATGAGTACACATTTGAATGTCATCATGCCGCTGGAGGTGCTGCCTCGATGAACAAAGGGTAAGTTGGCCGTGCATGTAGATTTTAAACTATTTTAGGACCAAAAGTATTTCGCGTGAGTCGAGATTTATATCACGGCATACAAAATATCAAATTGTGCATAACCAACCATGCACGGAAAGTTTCATGTCTACCGATGTAACCAGGTATAGGCCATCATCAAAGGAAATGAAAGTTGTGCAACCGTTTATCGAAAGAACATTGACGTTCAAGATATAATGGATTTAGTAAATGAGAGATTCGGTAAAGTTATCCTATATGATGATATTAAAAATAGGCGGGCTAGGATAAATAAACGCAAGTCGTATCAAAATAAATGTAGCAGTAGAATAGAAATCGGTGGTTTGCAAGACCTCCTTCATCGACTGAGGCAGATAGGTCCAGTTAGTGTTTCGCATGACAATGCAGGTTTCGTAATGATATGATAGACCTCTATCATAAGTTTTCAGAAGTAGTTGGAATTGCTTGTACTTATAAAATGAATAAGATGGGGTAAGTTGCAGTACAAGAAGGTATAACTTCGCCAAATTTATTACAAATGGCCTTTATATCAGTCTGTCGTGACTGATGAATTTGGAGGAGGTAGGACTGTCTTATTTGCTCTTGCTAGGAGGGAAAGATTTGCAGATATCAAGGAGATAGTGCAGACGTTTAAGGGATTTATGAGTGATACATCGAAAGCGGTAACATTCACTGTCGACTGTGCAACTGCACATATAAACGCTCTAAAGGAGGAATTCCCTAGATACAGAATTGTTTTATGTCTTTTCTATGTATGCCAGGCGTTCAGAAGGAAGGTAAATTCCATTCTCATTAACAAGCATAGCGAAAACAGTTCCCAAATCAACGTGTTAAAAATGCTATATCGACTGCGCACACACGGTATCCAGGTAAAGGTGATCCACTGGGACTGATGTTATGGAAAATATAGAGGTGGACTGACCACACAACCATATGTAAAATACGTCTGGGCCAGTGGATGCATTGTAAATATTACAATTACGATGTAAGTTTCAAGATAATTTACAAGTTTTCCCGGTGTATACTTTACTGCAGTCTATATTACGCCGTCTCACACCCTTCGCTGCCAAGAAAGTTGTTTTAGACTTGCAGAGGCGCTTTTTCTTCTTCCATTCAATATCCTCCACCTCAGTTAATTAAGCAGAAGGTAGGCACATCTTCGTAATCAGGAATGAGGGTAAATTCACGCGTTGCATAGACTTTGCATACAGTTTGCCATGTGCGCATGTCGTTGAGGATTCCTGGATTCATATCTAAACTGTGGTATGTTCCATTTCCTAAAATGTTACTCTTAGAAATCCTGAGAAATGGCAAGAGGTGAACACGTCCGCATAACACAACGGACAACATTCCGCGAGCCGTCCACTTAACACTGTTACCAAACAACGCGTTTCGAAATGCCTATGAACGGTTAAGATGTCGCCTCGTCAGCCTGAACCAAAGAAATCCGGATGTTGGGCTGCGAGGTTGGACAGTTTGCCAGTAAATGAACAGCAAACAACTTTAAGATTGCGATGTATCCGCGTTAATCGCTTATTTTTGTGAAAATGTTTGTTTTACCTTTAAAAATAATATATATTCTCATTTTTGTAGATGAGGGAAGCCAGTTTACAGGCATCATCAATTCGATAAATTACACATACGATTAGTAAGCATAGTTAGTGTTGATAATATAATAAGGTACGTATTTATTCCCACCTATGTAGGTTACACCAGTTGTATATGCATGCATAAGTATTGTTTAAATTACATATTTAAATTACGTGATTTACGGTTGCTGTCATTTTGTCTTTAGATTGTGGCAAAAATATGATAACTAGTGATTGTTTTAGTTTCCTTTTGTATTTATGATGTAAACATGTATATCTAAACTGCTGTTACACTTCCTTTCCCTTCAAATGCCTAAGGGTGACAGTTTAAAACATACTTTGATTGATTGTTTCGTGATGAGAGCACTTGGGAAGTCAGTTAGAAATTACAACATTGTGTGACTTATATATATATATATATTTTATCAGCCGAAGATTACTGGTTCATAGCATATCTTGAGTGACGGTAACTTATACGATCCATCACTTACACCAAAGCAACGCTTACAAGACCAACCTCACAACTGTTCTAAGCAAAGTCTAATCAACGCGTCAATAATGCCTTTTAATGGTATATGAATGCTTTATCTACTTGAAATGAACCCAGTATGCACTGAAATAACCCTCGTCCTTCTCAAAAAGGAGCAATGGATGCTGATCCTGGGCTAAGAGGGCTGAAATAAGGCTGAAAAGCTACTTCTGGAAATATCTAGAAGAACTGTAAGGTGCTGAATTTGTGCCAGACATGCTGGTAAACCAGCTTACAGTTCCAGTTTAAGCAAATAAATGCAACAATCGCAGAGCAGTCAAGCAATTTACCTAATAAAGAATGTTACTATATTAGCAAAGTTTCCGTCAGTTAGTTTAATCATTGTGGGTTTACCATAATCGCTAAATACAAACGTAATAACTGGAAAGTTTGGACTCCAAAATAGCCTTCAAAGTAGCAACCAGTTGAAAAACTAACCTAATAATAAAAACAAGTAAAATGTGAGAAATAAATAGATGAAAAACACGCGAAAACGTATAACCAGTGAAACCTTGACACCATCTTCCATTTGGAACTGACTAGAGAGGCCTTCAACCACCAAGGCAACGAGGAGAGTATACAGAAGAACCACCACCACGTCAAGGTAGCAGCTATCGGACCGGATGCTTAAGACAGTGATCCACACAGTGTCATTGATTTTGTACTCATTGTTAAGTCATTTGTAAATGTTCTCCCCGCCATTCGTTTGTATATGCTACTTGATAAGACTCAATATTAGATTTTGAGAGAGGTGTGAGCCACAGAGTGTATGAGGTTAGTGGGATTTCTCATATTCAGTCATACATTTAGAGGAAACGTATGCCTTTGAATCCCACTGTCTTTAATATGCAGTCCACTATTGCTGCTGTGACAAATTCGCTGGTAGTAGTAATTATTATCAATATCAACATGTCGAAAGGATGATGTTAAAGAGAATAAAACGAGTACAACAATCGAAGGACATAGGTATCCATTACAGTCTCCTCAGACCACTAACTTAGACAGTAACGAAAGATCATCCTGGAATTATCCAGTCGAAGTTGATATTCAGAGGGTTTCTCGATAAAAAGATTATCTTGTCGCCACATCTTAAAGAAAATATTTAGATAACAAGGCGCCTAGAGTTATTTATCGTTTCAGCACAACACCTCAACTGACTCGCCATTCACGAAGTGAAAACAAACCTGGCGCGAAGAAAATGTGCTTCTGACTCTTAGATGTCGCTATGTACCATGGAGAAGAACTACAACTACATGTACTCATTGTTAAGTCGTGTGGAAATGCAAACGCTAGCCAGACGACAGTCGACACCTGCCTACATTCCCGACATCCAACTAAGACCTCACTCACAAGTTTGATGAGATACTAACAATAATAGCAGCCGGATTATTAGAAGAAAACAAATTGACAGCTTAACTAACATGTTTAACAATTTAATACAGTACAAATAGTTAACAGTTTGTAAACTCGGTAGAAAAATAAAAACGGCTAACATATACAACATATATAAAACACATGCACATAACGATTGATAACCATTTAAACGTAGACAGTTTTTATGTGTACATATACGTATGGATATCGTAGTTAATATGAAAAATAGATTAAATCGTCAAAAAGGTTAATGCATGTACAAATAAACGGGAACACCATATAGCAACCTAGGAATGTTGAAAGGAAAGTTGAATGTACAAAAAACAAAGGAATACAGCATTTGCGAATCATCATTTCAACTTAATTTTAATTATAACACACAAAATATAAAAAATAGGAAGCAGAAGAAGACGCTGCATATTTCGTAGTGCTATACTACTGACGGTGCTGATAGTTCATTCGACAGACAAATCCAGTACCTAGACAGTGATCGGATCCATGGGTAAATGGGAGAAATTAAACACAGAAATTGTGAATTTAGTTAGGACAATACTTGAAATCAACATCAAGTTTAAATTGAAACACATATACGTACAAACATTGAAAAAGAGGGACATCAATTCGAGTATATACATGCTATATACAGAGCCTGACTGATTCTGTGTTCTCAAAGTGTTCAAATTCATTGGCTCTGGGCTATAGCTAATTGTCGTTCTCTTTTTGCATGATCTTGCATAACCACTAAACCAACAGGTAACTGTTGTTGTCCACTGCCTTTCTGCTTTTCACTTTACTCTCTCCCTCATTTATCCACCTTTGTGTGCCTTAATATAGACAAGCGTGGGAGGTTGAACAGGTGTGCTTTTGTGTTGAAAATCTGTCAGTCAGTTAGTCTATGGTTGGTACTGACTGACTAACTAACATTCTAACAACGTAGAACTTGAGGCAATTCAAGTTGTCAAACTTCACCAAAAGTACACAAATATACGGGAGAAGGAATAAGTGTAGTATACACAATGGCGCAGATGTATCCACTCCTTGTGACTTATAATATCCAACAAAACTATATCGATCTTCAACATTACTATTCTTTTTGACTTATATCTCTATTTACTGTTTCTATTTTGCATTTCTTTTCACTCTCTTCTTGTACTTTGTGTGCTAAGTGAAGTGTGGTGACTCACAACTACTGCACATCGGTGCAAAGATCTATGTTGAAACTAGTCAATCAGTCAGTACACAGAATAACAAAAACCTTGATGGAGGATCTAAGGGTTCATAGAGAGTGATTGAATCCATCTAGCATGGCTCTCACGAACAACCTGGTATATGCGTGAGGGCGGGTGGACTTCGATCTTCTTGAAATGTTAACAACAACACACTGTCAGACAAGGCGTGAGAGCGACAGGCTCAGAATACTTCAGACTGATTCACATTATGTTCAGAAGAAGAATTAGGATAAAATAAGATGAAAAGATTGAATATTGCACACACCGGTAATTTAGATAATTACCTAACAGTAAAATGTGTATGTTCGCTCTATAAGTTATATTAAAGTTCAACAGATATAAGAACGTGCACGATCACGTCTGTCTGTCATATGATTCACAAATCTACTTTCGCACTATTTTTACTTTCTACAACAAAGTGTAAGAGTGAGAGGAAATTTAGAGGCATAACACACAATTATATTTTTTTAAAAGGCATATGATAATTCTTTGAAAAAGCAGTTTCATTTCTTTAATTAAATAGTTACTTTTACAGACATATTACTTAACGATATTCTAAAATGCATACATATACATATTTGGTGCTCAAAAAGAGTTCCTGGTTCAATGGGTAACCGCTCGCCAGCTGTAGCACGGGATATGACACTTCGATTTCTAGCAGAAGACGCACACTCTCCCCCAATCCACAGTATCATCTACCAGAAGTCGGTAGTAGGCCATGAAACGATGGTAGGCTTGGTGTGACTAGCAACCACATCATTGCTACTGAAACATATGAAGCTTTGAGCTTTATGTTCCATATGTATGACATAAGCCTGTTGCATAAAACTAACGATGAAATAGTCTGAGAAGTAAAAAATTCAAGTTTAGAAGTTGTGTTTACTTACAGCCAAGGATATACCATTTACGAAGTATTTAGGCTCTTGCAAGTTGCAAGTTTCTCTCTTACCTAGAACTCTTGCACAATCACAGATCTCATATGCATACACTGTCATTTAGCATCCTTATTAATAACTCCCTGTGTCATTGCACCAATTTTACCTGTTAATGTTGTTATCACTGATAATTATCAAAACACTATCAGAACAATTTGTCTGCATAATGCAATCACTCACTCCAGAATAATTTAATGTATAAAAAGGGGTGATAATACATAACTGAGAAAAACCTTCATCAGATTTAGCTAACTAGGCATGCCTACTACTACTACTAATTTAACCACAGAAAAAGATGCTATGATAATTTCGTAAAATTCAAATGAGAACATGAAAAGGGGAGAATAAAAAAGAATGATAACCACAAAAGCAAGCAGAGTATTCCTAATTTAGTCAAAAGGCAATAAAAGACGCATAAAATGATCACGTAAAGCTATTTAGACATAATAAAGTACAGGTATCTAAACTACTACTATGACTATAATTAACTGAGAGTTCCATAACCACCCACTGATTGCACACACACACACAAACTATAATCCCCTTGAATTTCGAGTGGAACACAGGACTTCAGCTCAGGCGGATCGCCGTTTCACTCTGGTCACTGCAGTCACTTTGGGTTGCTGATCCATACATCTCCATTGTCTTCTGCACATATGATGGTTGGATCACAGGTCCATTACCGGTCTTCGTTTCCGATCGTCTCTGGTCATCTGATCTTCAGTTTCGAGAGAAAGCAGCCACTGTTGAAGGTCTACAGCAAGCTGGTGGATATGCTTATGTAACTCATCAAGTCTTTGAATTATTTAAGAGGCACTAATTTGACTTTAGTTTCTACAAAAGTGGTAAGTGCTTCTCGCGCTGCACTAGTTGTTGGGCTCTGTGGTCTCATACAAGCTGCGTTCTCCGCTGCACAGCGTAAGTTCCTCGTAGTTTTCAAAACCTTATCAAACCCTTGTAGATCGTTCTTCTATCCATTTAACAGGACAGGAATATAGCTCGTTACTTATTCATGTAAGTGTGTTTTTCTTTAACCTTATTGCATGATGTTACAGATCCTTGTGCAAATAGTTCTTTCTTTCATTGTTGTCTGTATTAGTCTCGTTGGTCTCGCTGGGAATCTCAAGGAGTTAGAGGCTGCTGCAGAGTTCAGGGAGAAGTTTGTTCCATCAATCGTTTCATATATTTTTAGGACCTGCGATTAACTTGGAAATAGACCTTCCTTTTACATTTTTCATCACCGCAAAGCTCTCTTGTCGACTAATCCCACCCTCTAATTCAGTAATCACAATGTCCACCAATCCTATTGTTCTTGCCCGTGGACACACTGAAGCAGTCACAACTTTGTCACTTTCTGATCATCTGCTGGCATCTGGAAGTGCGGATGGCAATACCTATTTCTGGTCTCTGGATTTGATCCAAAGTCCTTGTCCTGTTCTCCAGGCTCCAAGATATGGTCACTGTTCTAGTCTCAAATTTAGTGTTAAACAAGAAAATATACTCTACGGGGCGTATAGCCAAGAAATTATCTCGTGGGATATACGCAACTTAAGACAGCTATTCGATATTTGGAAAGTATGTTGACAGAACTATCCTTTAAAAACTAATCTTTCAACCTTTAGGTTAATGAAGGGAGAGTAAATTCGATTGACGTATCTGAGACTGAAGACCGGCTGGCGTCAGCAGATGATACTGGTACAGTACAGATTATTGATCTGAGTAATGGTTCGCTTGTTCGTACTCTCAAGAAACATGATAACAGCGTGTCTTCAGTTAAGTTCCGACCGGGTCGTCCCTGGCAGCTGGTGAGCGGTGGTGTCGACTGTAAAGTTGTCGTATCCGACTGGCGGGGATCAGGCTTGGCGGTTAATATTTTTGAGCTGAGTGAAATTGCTGACTACTCTGGCTCAGACTCAAACAATGTTGAGGCTGACGATTCTTATATAGACAGTATAGATGATGAATCCTTGAATGTACTCCTCCGTTCCAACTCCACCATGAACTTTGACGGGGGTAATACCAGAACGAATGACCGCATTCGAGATCGGTTTGCCGAGCAGATTGTAAGTCAACCAGCGTCAACATCTTTTCGTGTATGTTACATGTGTCCTTATTAACTGTGTTTCAACCTACAGGATTTCATGATGACAAGAACAGTATCCTGTTCCATGACTCCTCATTTTATAAAGTAGCCTACTGTGTAGACTAAAGTGGGATGAAACTTAGGCATTTCAGCGTGTGTTCTAGGTGTTAATCTCAATATTTCTGGTCGCTTCTTTAAAAGTGAAATCTGTTTATTTTTGGTCTGTCATGTCGGAAAGTATATAATGAGCTGTAAATCCCAGTTGGCGTCACAATTAAGGCTCTTCATCTCATTCTAGTGAAGCTCATAATCGTAAATTTGATGATTGTATACAAGTTCCGTAGCAAAGATATCCACGTAGGAACTGCCACTGAAATAATTGCCAAGCCCATTTAAAATATATCATCTAGTTGGCGGTAGAACTTACAATTAGTCACATCTGAAGACCTTTGCAGACAACGAGAAGCTTCTTCCTTTAACAGTTATGCAGGAGATCATGGATTCCGGGATGAGTGGTGTGACTTTTGTGCCGATACACACTGATGTTATTCTCAACGTTCTACTGTCTCTGATGCTGCAGAGAAGATTAGCATGGCGTATATAGTGTTTCCAAACAAGTGAAGAGTATATCTGGCACGGGTGTTCCGGAGCTTGTATTACAATCATCAAATTTACGATTATGAGCTTCACTAGAATGAGATGAAGAGCCTTAATTGTGACGCCAACTGGGATTTACAGCTCATTATATACTTTCCGACATGACAGACCAAAAATAAACAGATTTCACTTTTAAAGAAGCGACCAGAAATATTGAGATTAACACCTAGAACACACGCTGAAATGCCTAAGTTTCATCCCACTTTAGTCTACACAGTAGGCTACTTTATAAAATGAGGAGTCATGGAACAGGATACTGTTCTTGTCATCATGAAATCCTGTAGGTTGAAACACAGTTAATAAGGACACATGTAACATACACGAAAAGATGTTGACGCTGGTTGACTTACAATCTGCTCGGCAAACCGATCTCGAATGCGGTCATTCGTTCTGGTATTACCCCCGTCAAAGTTCATGGTGGAGTTGGAACGGAGGAGTACATTCAAGGATTCATCATCTATACTGTCTATATAAGAATCGTCAGCCTCAACATTGTTTGAGTCTGAGCCAGAGTAGTCAGCAATTTCACTCAGCTCAAAAATATTAACCGCCAAGCCTGATCCCCGCCAGTCGGATACGACAACTTTACAGTCGACACCACCGCTCACCAGCTGCCAGGGACGACCCGGTCGGAACTTAACTGAAGACACGCTGTTATCATGTTTCTTGAGAGTACGAACAAGCGAACCATTACTCAGATCAATAATCTGTACTGTACCAGTATCATCTGCTGACGCCAGCCGGTCTTCAGTCTCAGATACGTCAATCGAATTTACTCTCCCTTCATTAACCTAAAGGTTGAAAGATTAGTTTTTAAAGGATAGTTCTGTCAACATACTTTCCAAATATCGAATAGCTGTCTTAAGTTGCGTATATCCCACGAGATAATTTCTTGGCTATACGCCCCGTAGAGTATATTTTCTTGTTTAACACTAAATTTGAGACTAGAACAGTGACCATATCTTGGAGCCTGGAGAACAGGACAAGGACTTTGGATCAAATCCAGAGACCAGAAATAGGTATTGCCATCCGCACTTCCAGATGCCAGCAGATGATCAGAAAGTGACAAAGTTGTGACTGCTTCAGTGTGTCCACGGGCAAGAACAATAGGATTGGTGGACATTGTGATTACTGAATTAGAGGGTGGGATTAGTCGACAAGAGAGCTTTGCGGTGATGAAAAATGTAAAAGGAAGGTCTATTTCCAAGTTAATCCCAGGTCCTAAAAATATATGAAACGATTGATGGAACAAACTTCTCCCTGAACTCTGCAGCAGCCTCTAACTCCTTGAGATTCCCAGCGAGACCAACGAGACTAATACAGACAACAATGAAAGAAAGAACTATTTGCACAAGGATCTGTAACATCATGCAATAAGGTTAAAGAAAAACACACTTACATGAATAAGTAACGAGCTATATTCCTGTCCTGTTAAATGGATAGAAGAACGATCTACAAGGGTCTGATAAGGTTTTGAAAACTACGAGGAACTTACGCTGTGCAGCGGAGAACGCAGCTTGTATGAGACCACAGAGCCCAACAACTAGTGCAGCGCGAGAAGCACTTACCACTTTTGTAGATAACTAAAGTCAAATTAGTGCCTCTTAAATAATTCAAAGACTTGATGAGTTACATAAGCATATTCACCAGCTTGCTGTAGACCTTCAACAGTGGCTGCTTTCTCTCGAAACTGAAGATCAGATGACCAGAGACGATCGGAAACGAAGACCGGTAATGGACCTGTGATCCAACCATCATATGTGCAGAAGACAATGAAGATGTATGGATCGGCAACCCAAAGTGACTGCAGTGACCAGAGTGAAACGGCGATCCGCCTAAGCTGAAGTCCTGTGTTCCACTCGAAATTCAAGGGGATTATAGTTTGTGTGTGTGTGCAATCAGTGGGTGGTTATGGAACTCTCAGTTAATTATAGTCATAGTAGTAGTTTAGATACCTGTACTTTATTATGTCTAAATAGCTTTACGTGATCATTTTATGCGTCTTTTATTGCCTTTTGACTAAATTAGGAATACTCTGCTTGCTTTTGTGGTTATCATTCTTTTTTATTCTCCCCTTTTCATGTTCTCATTTGAATTTTACGAAATTATCATAGCATCTTTTTCTGTGGTTAAATTAGTAGTAGTGGTATTAGTAATAGTAGGCATGCCTAGTTAGCTAAATCTGATGAAGGTTTTTCTCAGTTATGTATTATCACCCCTTTTTATACATTAAATTATTCTGGAGTGAGTGATTGCATTATGCAGACAAATTGTTCTGATAGTGTTTTGATAATTATCAGTGATAACAACATTAACAGGTAAAATTGGTGCAATGACACAGGGAGTTATTAATAAGGATGCTAAATGACAGTGTATGCATATGAGATCTGTGATTGTGCAAGAGTTCTAGGTAAGAGAGAAACTTGCAACTTGCAAGAGCCTAAATACTTCGTAAATGGTATATCCTTGGCTGTAAGTAAACACAACTTCTAAACTTGAATTTTTTACTTCTCAGACTATTTCATCGTTAGTTTTATGCAACAGGCTTATGTCATACATATGGAACATAAAGCTCAAAGCTTCATATGTTTCAGTAGCAATGATGTGGTTGCTAGTCACACCAAGCCTACCATCGTTTCATGGCCTACTACCGACTTCTGGTAGATGATACTGTGGATTGGGGGAAAGTGTGCGTCTTCTGCTAGAAATCGAAGTGTCATATCCCGTGCTACAGCTGGCGAGCGGTTACCCATTGAACCAGGAACTCTTTTTGAGCACCAAATATGTATATGTATGCATTTTAGAATATCGTTAAGTAATATGTCTGTAAAAGTAACTATTTAATTAAAGAAATGAAACTGCTTTTTCAAAGAATTATCATATGCCTTTTAAAAAATATAAATGTGTGTTATGCCTCTAAATTTCCTCTCACTCTTACACTTTGTTGTAGAAAGTAAAAATAGTGCGAAAGTAGATTTGTGAATCATATGACAGACAGACGTGATCGTGCACGTTCTTATATCTGTTGAACTTTAATATAACTTATAGAGCGAACATACACATTTTACTGTTAGGTAATTATCTAAATTACCGGTGTGTGCAATATTCAATCTTTTCATCTTATTTTATCCTAATTTTTCTTCTGGACATAATGTGAATCAGTCTGAAGTATTCTGAGCCTGTCGCTCTCACGCCTTGTCTGACAGTGTGTTGTTGTTAACATTTCAAGAAGATCGAAGTCCACCCGCCCTCACGCATACACCAGGTTGTTGGTGAGATAAGGACACACGTAACATACACGAAAAGATGTTGACGCTGGTTGACCTATAATCTGCTCGGCGAACCGATCTCGAATGCGGTCATTCGTTCTGGTATTACCCCCGTCAAAGTTCATGGTGGAGTTGGAACGGAGGAGTACATTCAAGGATTCATCATCTATACTGTCTATATAAGAATCGTCAGCCTCAACATTGTCTGAGTCTGAGCCAGAGTAGTCAGCAATTTCACTCAGCTCAAAAATATTAACCGCCAAGCCTGATCCCCGCCAGTCGGATACGACAACTTTACAGTCGACACCACCGCTCACCAGCTCCCAGGGACGACCCGGTCGGAACTTAACTGAAGACACGCTGTTATTATGTTTCTTGAGAGTACGAACAAGCGAACCATTACTCAGATCAATAATCTGTACTGTACCAGTATCATCTGCTGACGCCAGCCGGTCTTCAGTCTCAGATACGTCAATCGAATTTACTCTCCCTTCATTAACCTAAAGGTTGAGAGATTAGTTTTTAAAGGATAGTTCTGTCAACATACTTTCCAAATATCGAATAGCTGTCTTAAGTTGCGTATATCCCACGAGATAATTTCTTGGCTATACGCCCCGTAGAGTATATTTTCTTGTTTAACACTAAATTTGAGACTAGAACGGTGACCATATCTTGGAGCCTGGAGAACAGGACAAGGACCTTGGATCAAATCCAGAGACCAGAAGTAGGTATTGCCATCCGCACTTCCAGATGCCAGCAGATGATCAGAAAGTGACAAAGTTGTGACTGCTTCAGTGTGTCCACGGGCAAGAACAATAGGATTGGTGGACATTGTGATTACTGAATTAGAGGGTGGGATTAGTCGACAAGAGAGCTTTGCGGTGATGAAAAATGTAAAAGGAAGGTCTATTTCCAAGTTAATCCAGGTCCTAAAAATATATGAAACGATTGATGGAACAAACTTCTCCCTGAACTCTGCAGCAGCCTCTAACTCCTTGAGATTCGCAGCGAGACCAACGAGACTAATACAGACAACAATGAAAGAAAGAACTATTTGCACAAGGATCTGTAACATCATGCAATAAGGTTAAAGAAAAACACACTTACATGAATAAGTAACGAGCTATATTCCTGTCCTGTTAAATGGATAGAAGAACGATCTACAAGGGTCTGATAAGGTTTTGAAAACTACGAGGAACTTACGCTGTGCAGCGGAGAACGCAGCTTGTATGAGACCACAGAGCCCAACAACTAGTGCAGCGCGAGAAGCACTTACCACTTTTGTAGAAACTAAAGTCAAATTAATGCCTCTTAAATAATTCAAAGACTTGATGAGTTACATAAGCATATTCACCAGCTTGCTGTAGACCTTCAACAGTGGCTGCTTTCTCTCGAAACTGAAGATCAGATGACCAGAGACGATCGGAAACGAAGACCGGTAATGGACCTGTGATCCAACCATCATATGTGCAGAAGACAATGAAGATGTATGGATCGGCAACCCAAAGTGACTGCAGTGACCAGAGTGAAACGGCGATCCGCCTGAGCTGAAGTCCTGTGTTCCACTCGAAATTCAAGGGGATTATAGTTTGTGTGTGTGTGTGCAATCAGTGGGTGGTTATGGAACTCTCAGTTAATTATAGTCATAGTAGTAGTTTAGATACCTGTACTTTATTATGTCTAAATAGCTTTACGTGATCATTTTATGCGTCTTTTATTGCCTTTTGACTAAATTAGGAATACTCTGCTTGCTTTTGTGGTTATCATTCTTTTTTATTCTCCCCTTTTCATGTTCTCATTTGAATTTTACGAAATTATCATAGCATCTTTTTCTGTGGTTAAATTAGTAGTAGTAGGCATGCCTAGTTAGCTAAATCTGATGAAGGTTTTTCTCAGTTATGTATTATCACCCCTTTTTATACATTAAATTATTCTGGAGTGAGTGATTGCATTATGCAGACAAATTGTTCTGATAGTGTTTTGATAATTATCAGTGATAACAACATTAACAGGTAAAATTGGTGCAATGACACAGGGAGTTATTAATAAGGATGCTAAATGACAGTGTATGCATATGAGATCTGTGATTGTGCAAGAGTTCTAGGTAAGAGAGAAACTTGCAACTTGCAAGAGCCTAAATACTTCGTAAATGGTATATCCTTGGCTGTAAGTAAACACAACTTCTAAACTTGAATTTTTTACTTCTCAGACTATTTCATCGTTAGTTTTATGCAACAGGCTTATGTCATACATATGGAACATAAAGCTCAAAGCTTCATATGTTTCAGTAGCAATGATGTGGTTGCTAGTCACACCAAGCCTACCATCGTTTCATGGCCTACTACCGACTTCTGGTAGATGATACTGTGGATTGGGGGAGAGTGTGCGTCTTCTGCTAGAAATCGAAGTGTCATATCCCGTGCTACAGCTGGCGAGCGGTTACCCATTGAACCAGGAACTCTTTTTGAGCACCAAATATGTATATGTATGCATTTTAGAATATCGTTAAGTAATATGTCTGTAAAAGTAACTATTTAATTAAAGAAATGAAACTGCTTTTTCAAAGAATTATCATATGCCTTTTAAAAAAATATAAATGTGTGTTATGCCTCTAAATTTCCTCTCACTCTTACACTTTGTTGCAGAAAGTAAAAATAGTGCGAAAGTAGATTTGTGAATCATATGACAGACAGACGTGATCGTGCACGTTCTTATATCTGTTGAACTTTAATATAACTTATAGAGCGAACATACACATTTTACTGTTAGGTAATTATCTAAATTACCGGTGTGTGCAATATTCAATCTTTTCATCTTATTTTATCCTAATTCTTCTTCTGAACATAATGTGAATCAGTCTGAAGTATTCTGAGCCTGTCGCTCTCACGCCTTGTCTGACAGTGTGTTGTTGTTAACATTTCAAGAAGATCGAAGTCCACCCGCCCTCACGCATATACCAGGTTGTTCGTGAGAGCCATGCTAGATGGATTCAATCACTCTCTATGAACCCTTAGATCCTCCATCAAGGTTTTTGTTATTCTGTGTACTGACTGATTGACTAGTTTCAACATAGATCTTTGCACCGAAAAACAGTAGTTGTGAGTCACCACACTTCACTTAGCACACAAAGTACAAGAAGAAAGTGAAAAGAAATGCAAAATAGAAACAGTAAATAGAGATATAAGTCAAAAAGAATAGTAATGTTGAAGATCGATATAGTTTTGTTGGATATTATAAGTCACAAGGAGTGGATACATCTGCGCCATTGTGTATACTACACTTATTCCTTCTCCCGTATATTTGTGTACTTTTGGTGAAGTTTGACAACTTGAATTGCCTCAAGTTCTACGTTGTTAGAATGTTAGTTAGTCAGTCAGTACCAACCATAGACTAACTGACTGACTGAGATTTTCAACACAAAAGCACACCTGTTCAACCTCCCACGCTTGTCTATATTAAGGCACACAAAGGTGGATAAATGAGGGAGAGAGTAAAGTGAAAAGCAGAAAGGCAGTGGACAACAACAGTTACCTGTTGGTTTAGTGGTTATGCAAGATCATGCAAAAAGAGAACGACACTTAGCTATAGCCCAGAGCCAATGAATTTGAACACTTTGAGAACACAGAATCAGTCAGGCTCTGTATATAGCATGTATATACTCGAATTGATGTCCCTCTTTTTCAATGTTTGTACGTATATGTGTTTCAATTTAAACTTGATGTTGATTTCAAGTATTGTCCTAACTAAATTCACAATTT